AGGGGGGGGGGGGGCCCCGGCCGGGCTCCCCAGCGGGAGAGCCGCGGGTGTAGGGGGAGCTTTCGGGTGCGGGGAGGGCGGCGGCTGCGGCAGCCGGGCAGGGGGCCCTTCCCCACGCTGCGGCATCGGGCGGACACGCGTGCGCCGCGGGAGCCCCGCAGCCCAGCAGGGCACGAAGCAAACCCGCTCGGCTGTTCTGTCAACAGAAGGGCAGAGCTAAGGCGTGGTGCTGGTGGGCTCCCTGGGTATAAAGGAAGAGAGGGATCCTCCTCCGCGCCCCCAAGTTTGCAGGCACAGGTGACAGCCGCAGGAGCCAGGTGAATCCCCGCCACTGTCGATGATGAGAGCCAGCAACCTCTCCTCCACGTGTGATTTCATCAGGAGGCCTCACGGCTGTCCAGTCCAATTTCCACGAGGAACATTTGCCCACGTGCAGAACAGACATTGGCTTGACCTGCAGGTTGTTCTTCCCTACGTTTCCTTTGGGTTCTTCTTCTCTTCCTTCACTACGTTGGCACATGCCAAATGTGATCAGATTGCCAAAAATCATCTTCCACTGCTTTGGTTTTCATCTTCTATCAGAAGCACACGTGCCCGTGGGAATTCATGGTGTGTTTTAGTCTTGCAGCAATCCTTCGATCTCTCTCGGGCTTGCCACGGTGAGACCAGCCCCAAGCTTCACGCGGAGGCTGCTCCCTGGAGCAATTGGCCTGGCTTCAGGCGTCAGGGCCAGGGCTCCAGCCACCCTGGCTGCACGGCAGGATCCCTGCCTCCATGCCCGACACGTTGTTCTTTTCTAGGGCTCTGCATCTGCAGCAAATTTTCCCCGTCATTCTGAGACAGCATAGCTGGAAGAGGCTGACGTTCCCTAAGGTATCGCGAGTAACCTGTGAGGAACTCTTCTAGGGAGAGGCCGAACATTTTGAACCAGAGGTAGCAGAGCCAGGAGCGGATCACAGACCTCTCCAGTCCCAGGTGGCCACAGCCATCCTCACGCTCCTGCCCATCATCACACAACACCCGGCCCTTACCTAACACCTTTCTTCTGCTCAGCTCAAAGTCCTCCATAACGGCATCACCTTTTATTATGTAGGCTCTCTGGACCTGCTCCCCACAAAAACAAGAGCACCCATAGTCTTCAGCTAAATCTGCAGGTATAGACACACAGGTAGTTCAAGTTCAGCACCTCTAAAAATTATCTGCTAGAGGGCGATCCAAAGAGAGTCCAGCATCTACATCGCCACATTGCTCTTCCCTCTGTAGTGGGTCTGTTCCTCCACCAGAGGGAACTTCCACCTCGCGCTGTGACCTGTAACAAGCGGTCTCCTCCTCACCCACCTCCCCGGGTTACAGCAGCATTTCTGCTACAAACACCGGTATTTTCTGGTTACAGACGGGCTGCGAACCACAGCTGGAGGCACAGGGCCACCGCCAACCATTCCTGCCTCGGGGACTGCAAGGGCCGCAGTGGCAGCATCGCTACAGCCAGCACTTTGACCGCTCTCCAAGCACCACGGAGACAGGACTGGGGGGTCTGTTGCAATAAGCGAGCATAAATCAGCCGTCTTCTCCAGACAAGATTGCTCTCTGGAAGAACTCCTTTCCAAAAGGAGCCATTAGGCCATTGAGCCCAAACTCTAAGGCAGTGAATCATCCTGTGGCTGTCTTGCTTGTGTATCATAGCCAAATAAGTACTTGGAAATCTGTTATCAAAGATTTTTCATGTATCAGGATTATTTAGTGTCAGATTTTAGACTGCATGTTGGCAGACACTCCACAACATTATTACAGTTAAGGATGTGATATTATCAAGTATAAGGCACAGATCTCTGCATGAATATTTGTGTCATCACCACAGTACACAGAACTTGCCACGTAGTGCTTGCTGCACATTTCAAGCACAGAAAAATAGACCAACAGGAGAAGATACCAGATCATAAAGAGAGATAACACAGAGGACAACACCCAAAGCTGCAGCAAAACATTTTAGTGCCCAAAGCGTAACTCAGCCTCACGCCCTCTTGGCTCCTTCCAGCCTCTTCCAGCTCACCATGTTGCGTGCAACTCCTGCTAGCTCTCTTTTCTGGGCAGCAACTGTCAGAACGGCTTGAAGATTTTTTTCTTCTGCTTGGCGGCTCTCTCTGACAGGGCTAAGCAGGACACGGACCCCTCTTGTGCTGCTGCTTTGTACACAACTGACACAATCACCACCTGATGATTGCTGACTGATCTGAAGCCTCAAACGTACACAGATGGTTAATAAGGTAGGTCTGGTGATGGAAAACCTTAGGAGCCTGTCAATGGGAATGCAGGGAGCTTCACTTAAATAGCTCTCTGGTAAACAGAGGGTGACGGGGAGAAATTTAGCTCTACTGAGTCATCAGTGGAAGGGTGACAATGCCCCCTACCTACTCTTCATGGGCTGTGTCTTAGGATAACAGTCGTACAGCCCTGTCACTGTAAGCTCGGATACGACACCCCAGGTATCCCGGAAAGAGGCTTTGCTTGAAGAAAGCCTTTCCTTTGCTATTAAACTGCCTGACCCAGTCTATAAAGAAATAATGGAGAGACACAAGAAGAGTTAAAGCTGTAGGGACAGAGATGAATTAATTTACACAGCCAGCTCAGCAGAGAGGCCACCCGATGCTAGTGGAACATTTTGGAACAGCTTTAGCAGTGGAAGAAGGTCAGGCAGTGAAAAATCCTACGCAGATTGCACCATTAGATGGTCTGATCTCTGTTCCCCAAATAGCAAAATAAACCAGCTTTGCTAATGAAGGCAGAGCCACCACCCTTGCCCTAAATACTATGCAGCCTTCTCCTAGCAACTACTTTTCCCGAGCAGTTCACAGCCGTGGAAAAGTCGGACCCCTCAACAGCTCCATCATAATCAGACTCGTTCCTCCTTGGCCCCAGGGAGAGGGGATGTCAGCCTCACAGCTGAACAACAACTGCCAAGCCAAGACTTCTTAGAACAAGAAGAGTGACTGATATATACACACAGGGCGCTCTGTTACCGAATCTAGAAAAGGTCAGGAAGTAGCAAGTGCAGAGAGAGGGACAACTCTTACCAAGAAGGCACGTCCTCCAACGGATCGAACCTACGTGAGAGGCATTTCAGAACAGCTTGAGAAGAACAGACAACCTAGCTAGGAAACGTCCCCAGGTACAGAGAAAAATATCAGACAGGAAACGTGCGGTGATGTTTAGGTGCTGAAGTTCATGTGGAGAAAACAAAATAACAAAATGAATATAAAAATAAATAAAATGCACATGCAATAGCAACAGTGCACACATATATTCTATAGTATTGTTACAGTACCTAAAACGTATCAGAAGAAAGATAGTTTGATCAGAAAATAGATATTCTGCATCCCATCAAGGAATACACACACACACATATATATACACATATATAGATACATTTGCTCAGCTTCTTGAAAGAGAAATGTTTGGTCTTCCACCCACTGGAAGAAAATGGGTGACCTCTTGCATTCATCTCCTGACTTCTATTTGGGAAGCAAAAGAAAAAACAAATGAGCAAAAACCTATTTAGAGCAAAAATCCAAGAAGAATGCAGCTCCTGAACACAATAATGAAAAATGCCCATTTCTAGAACTACAGCTTTACTAACAGATACGGACTAGATACAAAAAGGTTAATCCTACTCGATTGGGGAGTATTGTTAAAGCATGTGGAGACAGTCAGCATTTCCTGGCTGCCATTTCCATCTTTATTATTGAATTACTGCTTCAGAGCTATGGCCGTTAGCAAAGAGAGATTAAGAAATGCCTATTTTGACTCAAAAGTGGTGTGGTCTGGCATTTGAACTGGGAACTGTGACTGCTGAGACGCTCTCTTCATTCTCAATGACTCAGTACAAGAGCTTGGGGAAAACATGGAGATCAGCATGCTTGAATGTATTATTTAGCTTTGGGTAACCAAAATGGGATAGCTTGGTACCAAATATGCTAACACGAAACTCTACAGCACAAAGATCAGTTGGTGGTACTCAACATCTCCAAATACTAAGCTCTGAATACCTAAAGTTGTGCATCAAAAGCATCTTCTCAGAAGTTTGTTCTTTGCTTCCCATATCCTAACTTACATGTTACAAAATCCTCTAACTTACATCTTACAAGGATATGTCCCATATCCTCTAATTTACATGTTACAACATGCCTCTGCCTTAGAATAAATCCACGTGTCTTAGATTAATCCACTAGTGGCTGTGAGGCATCTGCAGACCCTCCAGCTCCATCAGAAATTATCCCAATTCAGCACGTTTTCCATTCTACTATTTCAGAATGAAGAAAATGCTTGGATTACAGCATTTCATCAAACTGATGAAAAAAGGACTGCATCTTAGACTGGAACTTACTCTTTCAGCCTTAAATGCCAATAAAGACATTAATAAATTGCCACTATTATTACAGTACTTCTGACACTCAGATTAGTCTTCTTGTCCCTTGTTACCTGCTACCATCTTTCCGCCTCAGCCTAGTTATGCACAACCATCAGTTCTATTCCATGTCTCCAAATGATCTGCCTGTCACTCTGTGTATGTCCTCAACACCCTGCTATGGACACCTTACAACAGACATGTAAAAAGAAAGGAAATAGTTCAATAAAAAAAATATATATGAGCAAAAAAAATGGTGATCAGAAAACAGATTGTTGGAAGAGAGATCTTCTGGATCAAATTGTATAGCCTCTTGGTGTAGCAGGTAAGAAGAGACGCTGCCTCCTCTTAGGGATGTGACACACAACTCCCTTATTTTTATGAAGCACTTCTCCCCCTGTCCCTGCCAGACAAGAACATACTCAGATATTTGATAAAGACTGTACACAACGAGGAAGAGAAGCTGCTCAGATATCTTAGTTGGATGCTGGAA